GGAGGAGGCGGGGGAGGGGGGGGGGGAATGTGCGGCGAAGCCGGCGTTCGGCCGCGAAGGCAAAGGCGCATCATGGTGGGGAGGGGGCCCCGTCTGCCCTGCGACTGCGCGGCTCCAGAGCAAGAGGACACACACACAGGGGAGGGACACAGCATCACATCCGGAGATGGGGGTGCGCATGTCCGTGCACACACACACACACGCGCGCGCGCGCGCGCGCAAAGCACACGGACATGGGAGGGGGAGCCCACGCGTGCGATGCAGCCGTGCCCCGGGTGAGGACCTCCGCTCCGGCTGGGCGAAAGGGCAGACCGTGACCCCCGGCCATGTGTGCGCCCGCACATCGGACAGCGCGAGGGGAAGGGGAAGGGAAGAGGAGCCCCGGCTAAGGAACAACCGTGTGACAGGCCGCATGCGGGGGCAGCATCCGGGTGCACGAGGGGGGAAAAGCACGACCGGAGGAGCACATGCCGCTGCTGCCACTGTCGTCGTCCTCGTGGTAGGATAGACCCGCTCCAGGCGGCGGCGGCGGCGGGCGAAGGAGGGGCGAGGCGAAAGGCGAGGGGCGAAGGGAGAGAGGGGGAGAGGGAGAGGGGGGAGGGGGAGGGGAGGCATACGACAGAGGAGAGCCGGGACAAACCAACGGGAGAGAGTCTGAGGCCTTCTGGTTGCCTGGGCATGGGCCGGCCGGCTGAGGGGGTGCCCTCCCAAGAATGAGTCCTCCGGTCTCGTGTGCGAACGAGGGCACCGGGGGAGAGGACGGGGCCCGGCCAGCTCGCGTCTGTTCCCGAAGCATCATCCCCTCCGCCCCCCCCCCTTCCCCCCGCCCCCCTCCCCGGCTGGGAGTGGGGAGGCCTTCGGAGCGCACGAGCCCCGGTTCGTCCTGGCCCCCCATCCTTGGGCCGGCTTGGAGAGGGGGCGGCTGGCCAGGGACGCGGCCCAAGCAGACCCATCTCGCGACATGGCCGTCCCCCCCCCCCCCCCCCTGTCTCCAGCTGGATGGATGTGCCCCGGGCACACATGTCCCTTGAGGGATTTCGCGGGCTCGGCTCGGTCGTCCTGCGCGAATGCCACGCGAAAGGGGCCTCCCCCGTGCGCGTCTGACGCAGAGGGCATTCACGCACACACACACAGGCCGGCGGTCCCGGCTAGGGGGCGGCGTGCCCGAACACCTGCCCGCGCCCGACCCCCCCCCCCCCAGAAAAGCGTCCGGTCCGAGGTTCTCTAACCCTCGGGCTGCAGTACCCCCGGCGCCTGGCCAGTCAACTACCAACACATCGGCCACCCAAGCCGCAACCCCGAATCGGCCAACGGACGCGCCGGATCTAGGAAATACCCCGGACGCGGGAGCCAAAGAGGGCTTGTCTACAATCGTCTATCAGAATGGCATTATCGGGCGCTCCGAAGAACCACACGAGAGAGGGCGCCGAAAAAAGGCGGGAGCACGATGGCCGCCACCGCCGCTGCCGCCGGCTGGTCCCGGCGCCCGGCGCCCGGCACCCGGCCTCAGGCTCGGCCCTCAGGCCAGATCCCCTGGTGGATGCACCGCGAGACCTCGGCCGAGTCAGCTCGGCCGGCCAGCTGCTTCATCACCTGGCCCACAAGCCAGGCCTCCAGACGACAGCGGTATGGCTTACGGGGGGGGGAAGTGCCGCCGCCGGGGCCGGCCTTCGCCGCCGCCGCCGCCTCCCGAGCTTGCTCCAGAGCCAGGTACTCGGCATAGCGCCGGCGCGAATCGGCCACCGTGTCCGGGTGCGCGGCCAGCACAGCCGCCACGGCCTGTTGGAGGGCCCCTTCATCGCGAACCACCAGCAGCCCCAGCTGCCCGGCCAGCTGGTCCAGATCCAACAGCGGGACCCCGCGCAGGAGGATGGCCTCGCTGTGGCCGCCGGGGGCCGATGCCGCCGCCGCCGCCGCGACCACCGGCGCCGCGGCCCCCTCCAGCGCATCGGACGGCATGGGGAGCGTCGCGCCGGACCGGGCCCGGAGCTGGGCCACCCGGGCCACCAGCGCCGCCTGGCCCCGGGTCACGACCGCCGGGTGGTATCCCGAACGGGAGGCCGCCTCCTCGGGGCCGTCCTCGGCCGGCTTCCCCGCCCCGGGGCTGCCCCCCGGCGCATCGCCAGGCTCCGGGGCCGCGCGCGGCAGAGGGCGCGCCCCATCGCCAGCGGCCATGGCTGCCAGCAGGCGATCGGCCTCCAGCAGCCCGACAAGTGCCGGCGGGGCGGCGCCCGCCCCGGCCCCGGCCCCGGCCGCCACGCGCCACTGCAACGCGTGCCGCAGCATGATGCTCACCAGGCGCTTGAGCGAAGGGCTGTTGATGCGTCCGGCCAGACGCAGGTCCGCCAGGGCACGCAGGTGCAATGCCAGCGGCTCCAGGGCCAGGCTGCCCAGCGGGCCATGGAGGGGCCCGGCCGGCAGATCGCCATCCTCCCCGGTGGGGCCGGCACCGTCGCCGCCGGCCCCGGTGATGATGGAGTACGAGGCGTCGCCATCCTCCCCGTAGGTGGAGGGGGCCGCGGCCGGGGTGTCACCCCGGGTGCCGAGCCCCGACGTCGAGGTGGCACTCAGCTGGCCCAGGATCTCGGATGTAATGCTACCCGGCGTGCCCGGCATGCATGGTTAGGGCCTTTGGGCACACGGGCAAGGGGGGGGGGGGCGAGGGGGCGGGGGGCGGGCGCAAGGAACCACGAGAGGCGGCACGCACATGTTGTAGATCAGCCGCGGCAGGTCCGGGGCCACAGGGCCCCCGCCAGCCAAGCACCGCTCAAAGAGCTCCACCGCCGGGTGGCCGAAGGTCATCAGATGCCGTGCCTCGGCCGGGGAGATGCCAGCCCCGGGGCCGGACAGCCGGATGACCGTGGCATGCGGCAGCTCGCCGATGTGGCGCAGCTCCTGGTGCACCACGGCCGCCGGGATCAGCAGCGGGGCCACATTCACCTCGGGGATGAAGCGGTAATCCTTGGCCGAGTCCTTCGATCGCAGGGGAACGGTGACGTGGCTGCTCTTGGCAAGGGCCGCGGGCAGGCCAGTCAGATAGTCCGAAGGCACGGTGGCCGCCGCGCGCCAGGACCGCGTCTCCTGGGCCACCGTCCCCCCGGACTCCAGGAGGGCCACCTGTCGGGCAACCTCAAAGTTGATCTTCGAGGGGAGGGGAGGGCGGAGAGTCAGACAGGAAGGCCGCGGGGCAGGCAGCCAGGCATGCGGGCAGCCAGGCGGGTGGCCAGGCAGATCGACAAGCACACACACACACGCAGGCAAGCACACAAGGACACACAAAGGCACCGATCGAGGTGGATAAGCAAGTGCACATGCACGCCACGTACCGAGCCGGCGATCGATCGCAGGGAATTGAGATTCTTGATCTCCACGCGCGTCCCCAGCGGGTCGCCCTCCCGGTGCACGGAGATATTGACATCGCACCGGAGGGACCCATCCTCGAGGTTGGCACTGCCCACGCCACAAGTCCGGATGACGGACTGGATGTGCCGGACCACGGCCACGGCGTCCAGCGCATCGCGCACATTCGGCCGAGTAACGATCTCCACCAGGGCCACCCCGGCGCGGTTCCAGTCCATCATGACCGACCGGCTGCCGGCAGGGGCAGACGCCGGCATTGCCGCCGGGCTGGCCGAGGCCCCGCCGGCCGGCCGCAGCAGGTCCGCCGACAGGCCGAACAGCGACTTGGCCGTGTCCTGCTCCAGTTGGATGTGCTGAATGTCCACCTCGTGCCCGGGGGCGGAAGCGGTTGCCGGCAGGCCGGGCTCATCCACCGGCACCCGGCCACCGAGGATGATCGGCGCCCGGAGTTGCGTGATCTGGTACCCGAGGGCCGAATCCCGATAGGCGTAATGCTTCCGGTCGAAGGTGAGCAGGGTGTGCTCCGGCACCGGAGTCCCGCAAGGGGCCGCCTGCAGGGAGGCCCCCGGCGCGGGGAAGGGGTGGCCCCCCAGGGCGCAACCCAGCCGCAAGGCCAACCGCACGGCCAGCGGATTGGGAACCGGCAGGGCGCCAGGCATGCCCAGGTCGCAAGCGGCCACATGGGTGTTGGGCGCGGCCGAGGCGGTGGCCACGATGGTCGCCGTGCGTGGCCCATCGCCGTTGCCGGCTGCGGCCGCCACGGCCGCCGAGAAACCACGCAGCGAGTCGCCACGCGGCCGCACCGGCTCCCCGGAGCCGCCAACTTCCTGCCCTGTGGGCTGAGAGAATAGCTTGATGCCGCCGCCTAGCTGCGCATGCATCTCCAAACCGACGACCGTGCGCCAGGGGCGCGCGTCGGTTGATAGAGCCCGGCGCGCGCCCGCTGACCCGGCCGTCCGGGCTGCTTGGAGGGCGAGCATGTGGGGAAGAAAGAGAGAGAGAGAGAGAGAGACAGAAGAAGAGGACCGGGAACAGGAGTGTGTGTGTGTGTATGTGTGCAGACACGCAGACGAGGAGGGAGGCGAAGGCAGAGAAAGTGGGGGGGGGGGTATGCGGGCGACAACAGCAGGATGTAAGGAAACACATGTTGTGGGATCTTCCAAGCCGGGTGGCTGTTTAGGCGGCAGATGAGGGTGGACAGACACATGCACGCATACACGCACATGCACACGCACACAACCAGGGCCGATGCACCGGGATCTGCGGCATGATCGGCGATCTTGTTCTGATACAGTAGATCTCAGCGCGAGGTACAATCTGTTTAGAGGCAGCAAAGGATAAATCTATTGTTTGGGGTAGGGAGTTACACAAGGTGTCTAAGGGGGGGGGGGGGGGGGGGGGGTGCGATGCAATGTCCCCTTGCTGGCTATCTACGCCCAGCGGCGGGGACCAGCATTGAAGGTTGGGGTGGAGATCAGTCGTCGCTCTCGGTGCCGGAGTCCGAGCTGGAATATGAGTCGGAGTCGGAGTCGGTGTCAGACTCAGTGCCGGACTCGGAACTGGACTCGGAGCTGGACTCGGTGTTGGAGCTGGATTCAGGCTCGGGCTCGGGCTCAGACTCAGGCTCAGGCTCAGGCTCGGGCTCAGGCTCGGGCTCAGTATCAGGCTCGGGCTCGGGCTCAGGCTCGGGCTCGGGCTCGGGCTCGGGCTCGGGCTCGGGCTCGGGCTCGGGTTCAGGCTCAGGTTCAGGCTCAGGCTCAACCTCAACCTCAGCCTCAACCTCAGCCTCAGCCTCAGCCTCAGCCTCAGCCTCAGCCTCAGCCTCAGCCTCAGCCTCAGCCTCAGCACCGGCGTCACCATCAGTCTCAGGCTCAGCATCAACCTCAGCCTGCTTCTCCTCCTCGCTGGACTCAACCAACTCGGCAGTCAAGCTGGCATCAATGCCCGGAGTCGACAACGCGGCCGCGGTGGCCGACGCAGTCACAGCTGCGAGCGCCGCGGTCTCGGCAGAAATCACGGTGCCGGCATCCTTCTTCTGCGACTCATCCAGCGAGACATCCATCTCCGAAAGGTCCATCTCACCGCGCATGACACGCTTCAGCTGGCTGGCCATGGCCGGGCCGGTCTCCTCAACGAGACGACTGAGAGCACCATCATTATCTGTGCACATACAAAGACACACACACACACATGCAAGCAGGCAGGCAGGCACATCGCCCAGGGCGGCAGGAGGAAGGAGCAAGAGGGGGGAGAGAGAGAGAGAGAGACGGGCAAAAGAGGAGAACACGCGCAGGAAGTGGCGTTAGATCATAGGCGCGCCGGCGGGAGGGAGGACACACACACATAAACAAAGGAAAAGGGGGGCACACAGGCGGGGGGGGGGGGGCGGGGCAGGAAATCACGCACCCTCGAGCAGCTTGCGCGGCGGGCCGAACTCCAGGATCTGGCCGCGGTCCAGGACCAGGATGTAGTCGTAGTCGGCCACCGTGGACAGACGATGAGCCACGGCGATGACGGTGCTCGAGCCGAAGGACTGACGCATGGCCTTCTGGATGAGGGAGTCGGTATTGGCGTCGACATTGGCCGTGCACTCGTCCAGGACAATGACCCGAGCCCGGCGCAAAACCGCCCGAGCCAGGCACAGGAGCTGGCGCTCGCCGGTCGAGAAGTTGGACCCATTCTCCGCCACCGGGGCATGCAGGCCGCCCGGCATCTCCGAGACACTGGTGAAAAGCTCGCTCGACCGGAGGGCCTCCCAAATGGCGGCATCAGTATGCTCATCGAAGGGGTCCAAATTGAAGCGAATGGTCCCCCGGAAGAGGAACGGCTCCTGGGGAATGATGGCCAATCGCAGGCGCAGATCATGCAGACCCAGCTCCGTGGTGCTGACCCCATCGATGAACACCGTGCCGGCGGTCGGCTCCACCATGCGGAAGAGCGCCAACGCCATGGAGGACTTGCCGGCGCCAGTGCGACCGACAATGCCGACCTTGGCCCCACCGGGGATGGTCAGATGCAGGTCCCGGAGAACCGGATCCGCGGCCGGGTTATACCGGAGACTCATGCCACGCAGGGTGATCTCCCCGCGAGTGGGCCAATCGGCCGGCGGCCGGGTGGCATCCACCCGCAGAGGGGCCTCACTCGGCAGGGCCGTATACTGGACCAGGCGCTCGACCGACACCATGAGGTTCTCCACCTCGGCCGACTGACGGGCACACCACTGGAAGAGGCCCATCATCTGCATGACATACGACAGGCCCAAGCCCACCAGACTCGGGGCCAGGGTACCACTGGAGGCAATGGCCGCCGAGGCGAAGGCCGCCACGCACAGGAACCCCGCACACAGCAGATCCAGCCGAACGGCGAACCAGCGCGAGGTCGACAGGAAGGCATAAACCGTACGGATGTTGGCATCCTGCCGCCGGTGGAAGACCTCGGTGAAGGAGTTCTCCCGGCCGAAGGACCGAATGGTGGCCAGGCCGTCCAGGGTCATGGACAGATGCGAGGACAGCGGCGACCGGGACAGGGCATCCAGACGCTTGATTTCACGCGAAGACCCGACAAAGAGCGTGCGCAACAGCCAGAAGAGCACCGTGATCGGGATCAACGCCAGCAGCACCCACGGGATGACAATGCCAATCATGACCACACAGCCGATGACCATGCAAAAGCACTGCAGGAAGTCGAAGGACACCACCGGGAACATCTCATCCGACAGGGTCTGGTCCTTGGAGAAGCGATTCAACACCCGGCCATGGGGGTTGGCCGTGAAGAAGCTCAATGGCGCACCGAGCACCGAGGTCAGCATATCCTCGAAGATGCGCCGGCCGGCTCGAATGGACAGCCCATAGTATGCCCAGGCCCGGGTGAAGGAAATGAGCGACGCCACGCCGGCAATCCCGCCGAAGATGGCCGGGAAGTGCTCCAGCAGGGAGGACGCCCCGCCGGTCAGGGGATTGGTCCAGTAGGAGAGGAACCAATCGGCGGCCAGCATGCCGGCCTGGCCGAGAACCAGCAGCAACAGCAGCGGCACCAGCACCCAAATGCCCAGCCAACCGCCGGCATACCGGTAGTAGGCGGCATACGAGTGGAAAGTGACACCACCCTCGACGCGGTCCTCGGAGGCGATGGCACTCTGATCGGCCGGGCCGGGCTCCTCCTCGGAGATGGCCGTGGCCCATTCGGTGTCGTCCGGGCGGGAGGCGGCTCCGGCCGTCGGGCCGGCCCCGGCCGCCGGGCCGCCATGCACCTGGCTCATGTACCCGGCGAAGAACCGCGCGAAGGGGGTATTCAGGGCGGTCACCTCTTCGAAGGTGCCATGGCCAGCCACACGGCCGGACTCCAGCAGGAGGATGGAGTCCGCCCGGGCGGCGAATTGCAACTGATGCGTCACCAGGACCACGGCCTTGTCCTTGAGGTAGCCCTGGATGGCACGCTCGAACATGCGCCGGCCAACGCGCGCATCCACCGCCGACAGCGGGTCATCCAGGACATAGATGTCCGCGTCGAAGTAGAGAGCACGGGCCAGGCTGATGCGAGCGCGCTGGCCGCCACTCAGGGTCGAGCCGCGCTCGCTGACCACGGTATTGGCGCCGCTCGGCCAGCGGGCCAGGTCCGGCCCGAGGCACGCGGCATCCACCACCCGGGCGAACTTCTCCGCGCAGTAGGGCTGCCCGAAGGTGATGTTCCCGCGGATGGTGTCCGACAAAATCCAGGGGGTTTGCGCCGAGTAGGCCATGCGCTGGAGGCTGGAGACCGACCCGTTCAGCCGGGCAATCTCTCCCAGAAGGGCCATGCACAGGGAGGACTTGCCACTGCCCACCGGGCCGATGACACTCATCAAGTGCCGCCGGGGCAGGGTGAAGGAGATATCCGACAGGCAGAGCGCCAGTCGGCCGCTGGAGTCCTCGCCCGAGGGGACAATGATGTTCATGGGGATGGACACCGGGCTGTCACCGGCGTCGCCATTGGCTTCGTTGGCGGTGGCGGCGGCCTCCCTGGCGGCGGCCTCCTCGCTGCCCTTCTTCGAGGCAGCCAGCAGCTCGGCCGGTGGCAGGGGCCATGCGAAGGAGGCATTCTCGAACACGGCCGCGGGGCCATCCTCCGAGGCGCCCTGGGAGTGGACGGTACACGCAAGTGCATCGGGGAGGGGGCAGAGAGAGAGAGAGAGAGAGAGAGAGAGGCGCGAGTGTCAGGGGCATGGATCGAGCAGAGGCATGGATCAAGGAGGGGGGGGGGGGGTCCGGGGACGCACCATCTCGCCGGCGGCCATGTCGGCCGGCTTCACGCTGGGCATCTCCTCCAACTCGAGGAAGGTCTGGATACGGCGGACCGAGACGCTGAAAGGGCGCGCGCGTGGAGGGAGAGAGAGAGAGGGAGGGAGGGAGGGAGAGGGAGAGAGAGGAATGATGTCAGTCCCGGAGGAAACTCCCCCGGTGGAGGACGGCACCAGGGGGAAGCGCCCCATCAGGGGAAGGGGAAAGGGAAGGCACAGCAGGGGCGAGGAAGCGGCTGCCTGGTACGCACAGCGAGTCGGCCACACCCTCGACGGCCTTCGGGAAGAAGTTGGTCATGGACAAGCGCACGACATTGTACAGGGCAATGGTGGGGAAGACCACATCGGCCCCGAGCGCCGGGGACCCGGTGATGTACACGTAGGGGATGAAAGTGCAAACACTGATGAGGACCGGGGCCACGAAGAAGATGGCCTCATTGGAGGCCCGAATGGCCGAGGACTTCCACAGCCAGGAAAGCTCCAGGCGCCGGAGGATCTTGATGCGATCGGCGAAGGGGCCCTCCCAGCCCAGGAGCTTGAGGATGGACACGCCCTCGAGCGAGTCGCCGACAGCGCGGACACGGTTGTCACGAGCGGCCACCAGGCCACGGCGGATGCCGGTGAAGAGCCGCGCGAACCAGGCCTGCAGCGGGAGCAGACTCAGCAGGATGGCATAGCCGATGAGCACCGACGGGCCGATTTCCAGCCAGAGGACAATCAGCACGGCCAGCGCCTCGACCGGGGCGCCCCAGCCGAACAGGAAGAAGGGCCCGGCATCCTCGAGGCGCTGGGCGTCATTGGAGATCAGGTTGACCACCTGCCCGGAGGAGGAGGCCGACGGGGCCAAACGCAGGGACTTCCGATAAACCAGGGTGATGAGGGCCGACTTGGCCTGCACGCCAACGCGCTGCACCGTGAAGAAGTAGTGGTGGTGGATGATGGCGAAAACCAGGGCACTGAGCACCACACCCAGGGCGAAGAGGTAGATGTCGGTGGTGGTGTAGGCCGGGCTGCCGATGGACAGGATCAGGTACCGGAGGAAGATGGCCTGCGCGATCTTGAAGGTGATTTCGATGGCCAGGAAGAGCGACCCGAGCAGCATGCGCGGCAGGAAGTGCCGGACCAGCGGCCGGATCAGCAGCGGCCGATCCGGGTGCCGGCGCTGCTCCTCGGCCCACAGGGTTTCCAGCGAGTCGGCCAGGTGCTCGGCCTGCGCGGCGGCCGGCAGCTCGAAGAGGTCGCCGAAGTCCAGAGGCCGCTTGCGGCCGATCATGATCACCGGCTGCACGTAGAGGAAGATCATCTTGGACAGCCAGTTCCGCGTGTTGAAGGGGGTCTCGCCGCGGGCATTGACATAGCCCCGGGGGATGTCATCGCCGTAGTTGGCGGCGTTCGGCGCGTCGCCGGCCTCCGGGTCGGCCTGGGGCTTGGACTCGGTGCCGGGGGCCTCGGCCCCGCCGGCCATCGGCGGGGTGGTGTCCGGCGAGGAGGCCGCGTCCGAGGTGTCCGGCGAGCCGGGGCTGCTGGGGCTGGTGTCACCCTTGGTGGGGGCCGGCGCGGGGGGCGAGGGGTGGCCCTCCGCCGGGGCGGGAGGGGGGCCGGGCTCGGTGGTCATTTGCGCGCGCGTGGGGGGGGGGGGGGCGGGCAGGTAGGTGTATGTGTGCGTGTGGCGACGACGATGGCGGCGGGGAGGGGCCGCGAGGGGTCCACTTGCTCTCGGCCAGGAGGGAGGGCAGGGGGGGGGGGAGAAGTGACAACTGTCTGGGAACGAGAACGGACGCGGGGGGGGAAACGCAGAAGAGCCCCGGGCAGGCGGGCGGGCGGACAGGGGGAAGGGGGGAGATTGGGGGAAATGCAGTTGAAGGGGCTCTCTCCGGAGGCTGATGCTGACACTTGCGGTCGCTTCCGCGACACTGGTATGGGCATATACCTCTGGGCGGGGGGGGGCGAGGGCCCGGCCGGCGGAGATGGGGAGCGCCCATGCCGGCCGGCCGGCACCACCCGACTCTCTCCGGCTCCTGGGCCCTCGTCCGCCCAGGCTCCCCCCCCCCACCCGCCACCCCCGCCCCCTCGGGTGCGCTCCGTCACCCCGGGCTGGAGCACGGTGCGAAAATAAGCGCACACTGGCGCGGCTGCCCGCGCACGCGCCGGTGTGTGTCCTGTTGCACGCCGCTCCGCGCCCCCCCCCCCCCCCCCGCGCGGAAGGGGGCTAGCTTTGGTAATCCACCCGGCGGGGCGGATCAGGGCAACACCGCTCCGGCAAAATCATATGGGAGCACCCCCTACGGGCGGCCGAAAGCGCCGCCGGGGGAGTCCCCGCGCACAGGCGACGCGCGTCCGTGTTGGCGCGCGAGTGCGTTCGGCGGCGCCTTAACCGCCTGTGGGGGGGGGGGAGAGGGCGCCGGGGAGCGCCGCCCCCGGGCGTGGAGCAAGCGCCGCGTGCTCCCGAAGCTGCAGGGGGGGGGGGGCAATGTTGGAGTGCGGGGGCGGGACATTTTTGCCCACCGTTCCCCCCCCCCCCCCCCGCGGCCCGGTGAGGCCGGAGGGGAAGTGCCTTCAGACTATTTTATTGACGCCTTTTGCTCGCCACATCCGAGACTCGCCCCGCCCCCTCTGGAAGCCCGGCCACGGACATTGGTGACAATAGAGCAACCGTCAAACGGCCGCAGGCAATGTGCTCGCCTACATCGCGGCCCTGGACAGAGGGAGACACATGTCCCGGGCGCCGGGCACCCGCCGGGTTTTCTTTTTGGGCAGGGACGGCGGTCCACGCAGCCTGCTGCGCACAGGGGCCGCATGGCCCTTTCTTTTTTCCCAGGCCCCCGCAACCCGGGGGGGGGTGGGGGGGCGGGCTTCGGCGCGTCACACCGGGCCGCGCGCCACAGGCGGGCGCCGCCATGCGTGCGCGTGCCCCCGCCCGGCGCCGTCCGGCCGTATCCCCCCCCCCCTGCCGAGGCCTGGCGACAGGCTGGCGAGATGTGCGCCGCTGTCTGCCGTAAGCTGGTCGGTCGGCCACAATATGCCTTTGGCCCCCCCCCCTGATCGGCCGGGAGTTGGGCTAGGAAATGGAGGAGCGCATCTGGGCCGTTAGCGCGGGGCGGGGGGAGGAACGCGCACGCGGGCGCCTGCATTTGCTTGGGCCTGCATGTTCCCCGGTCCCCCCCCCCCCTGCCCCCCTGCCCCCCGTTCACTGCACCCGGGAGACGCGTTTGAGGCTTGCCCCCAGGAACAGTGCAGATGGGGGCCCCAGCCCGGTTGACGCAATATCAACACGTATTTAGGTCCGGCCGCCATTCCGGCCGCTGCGACCCGCGCCACCAGGGGACCCAGGCGGACCGGTTTCCGCTTGCACAGACACCTGGGGCCTGCGCCGGGCCGCCGCGCGACCTCCCCCCCCCCCCCGGACTTTCGGACGTGGCGTCGCGTCGCCAGGTTGGCGCCCGGTGCACGTAAGCACACGCGTATGCCCGTCCTCCGCCGCCCCCTCCCCCCCTTTCCCTGCTCCGTCCTTTCTGCGGGCCCTGTCTCGTCTGTGCCCCGCCCATTCTCCCCGAGCCCCAGTCAAACGCACGTCCCCAGCTGGGGGCATTTGGGCCAACGTGGTGCTGGGGCTGGCCGGCTGCCAGCGGAGACGCCCCGCCGGGGCATCGAGGGGACGAGATGCCGGGAAGGCGAAAATGTGAGGACTCGCCCAGGACCCAACGGACGGGAGGGCGTCCCGCGGTCAGTGGCCCGCCCTCCCCCGGCTCGGCAGATCCCCTCCCCCCCCCGCCCTGCCAGCGCCCTGCCGTGCGGACCCCACGTATTCCGTGCGTGTGCGTGTGCGTGTGTGTATATGGATGGGAGGGTGAGCTGACCACAGCTCCGGGGGGTATTGTGAAAGGTATTTTCTCTGCCCAAGGGCCCCCCCCCCCCCCGCCGCCGAGGTAGGCCGGGGCAAAGGGCGCGGGGGTGTGGGAGAGAATGCGCACGCGCGCGTGCGCGCGCTCTATGGGTGCGCGCGTGTGCCCCCCTCACCCCCCTCCGGCCAGAGAGGGGCACAGGGCCGCGATGTACATCAAGGAGGGGAGGGGGCGGGGCGGGGCGGGGCGGCCAACGCCAACGGGGAGGAGCAAAATGCCGGCACATCACCCCGCCGCCGCCGCCGCCGCCGCCGCCAACCGGATTTTTAGCTCGAGGTGGTGGGCGGGGCCGGTAGTGGAGAATAGATCAGCGTGGCCAGCGGCTTGTTCAGGTCCAAGGACGAAACCCACGAGGGCACCGAGTATATCGGGCTGGTGGCATTCGCATTGAGCAGCGACAGCACAGCCGACGAGATGCCCGTATGGCTGAGGTTCTCGGGGTCCCCCTCGACACTGATGGCTCCTTCATGGCTGACAGAGAGCCCGAGCAGGGTGGACAGGGCCTGCGGGTAGGGGCCACACCTGGAGCTCGTCGAGGGCAGGCCCCTTAGGAACAACTTCTCACCGGAGATGTGATGGATGGCATTGGCGAGAGCCAGCAGCTGCATGCCATTCTTCGGGGTAATGTGCTCGTTGAGCACCCCCTGCACCATCAGCGGCTCGGTCAGCTCCGCCGGGAGCAGGTGCAACCACGCATGCACCTGGTGCTGGGTCCAGTGGATGAAGGAGGTGGAGTCCGGCGGCGTGGTGCCCGGGGCAGCCAGCAGGCGCAGGCGGATGACCAGCTCCAGGACATGATCCATGCGGGCTGGCTGGCCATTTCCATCGACCAAGATCTCCAGCGCCGAGATGCGGTGCAGCAAATTCGACAGGCTGTAGTCGGTCCTCAGGCGCAGCACAGACGTGGCAACATCCGGCGACGGAGCCTCAGCAGGAAGACCAGCATCGCCACCATCATTGGCCACGGCATCACCGGCAGCCCGGTCGCCGGCGCTGCAGGAGACCGCCCCGGAACTCCGAGCCAGCGGGGCCAAATCCGGCAGCATGAAGCGCACCAGCAAATTGAATTGGTCCACGGTCAGGCGCTTGATGCCCCGCTGGGTGACAAAGGCCGCCGCCTGGTTGGCCAGCAGGGCGTCCTGCACCAGGGCCACATGCTCCGCGGAGAGGGGCCCAGCATGTAGGCCATTGATGGACGGGCCATGGGAAAGATCCTTCTCCGGGTGCGAGGAGTTCTGATGGTCGCGACTCGCCGAATACCAGGCCAGGTACAGGTTCGCGCTCTGGACCTCCTGGTAGTGGTCCCATTGCGTCTGAATGGTCGCCGGAGGAGGCGGCTTCTCGCCGGGCTGAAGCTCCAAGAACTTCCGATCCACAATGGCCTTGGAGACCAGGGGAGCCAGGAGCCCGGCGAAGAAGCCGGCCGTTCGCCGGCCAGCCAGCAGGTGCTGGTTGACGGTTTGCTCCAGCGGCCCGGCAAAGTGAAAGCTCGCAGTTTGGTCGGCTGGTGCCGCGGTGGTGTCTTCGGTGACGGGGCCATGCTGTGCGAAGCAGCTTAGGGACCAGGGAAGCGGCGACGCCGCGCCGGGCAGGAAGTGAACCGCCTGCGCGGCGGACCCGACCACCGGATGGGCCGGCAGATGTTGGAGATACTCCGGGCGGTTGGCGTCCGGAATGCGCTGCCATGTCTTGATGAGGCTCGATTGCCACTCCACCAAATCAGACTGGTCACCCAGGACCAGGATGTTTCGCAGGGACGTATGGTGGAGAAACTTCGCGGTGAGAATGCTGTTGATGGCCCTGATAACCGCCGGTTTGCCGATGATGCTGGATTGCGGCACAACCAAGAAGTGGGGGGCTGAAAGGGAGTCCCGCATGTTGTGAAGAGCCCGGTGCAGGGAGTACGACTCGCGCTCGGGGAGCTCGACCAGGTGCAGCATCGGCAAGACGGAGTTCAGGATTTGTGAAAAAATCTCAGACCCATTGATGATGCGGGACTCTGCCGGGCGAGGCAAGTGGGAGAGGGGGGACATGATGGAGGAGAGGGTGTCAGAAGGAATGGCGGCCTGTGGGGATCTTTCTCGTGCTCCCGCCCTCCCGGCAGGAGTGCCGCGCAGGAGGCACAGGCAAGGAGCAAGGGCCACACGTACGGGAGAAAGACAGGTGCCGGAGGGACGTGTAAGACCGGACCTGATCCTCGAGCAGCTTCCCAGTCCCGGTCATTTGTTGCAGAGAGAAGTTCATTCCCCTGAGCACGACCGTCGAGAGGGCAGGCGGCGGGAGGTCCGTGAGGAAAGCCTTGCGCGAGGTCGGATGAAGCAGGGGGTCATACATGCACCACTCCAGCAGGGAGACCAGCGAAGACAGACCGGCTTTCCGGGACTTGGAGTTTTGTGGCAGCCCGGCTTCGGGGGCAGTCAGCATGTGAGGGAACGCTGGGCGAAAGTTTGTCCCCCTTCCCCCCGACGCTCTGCTCTGACACCTTGCCTCTGGCGCATGCGCTGTGTCTCTTTGTCGGGCACGCCAGAGACAGACACGCGCACACACAAAAGCGAGGTGGGGGGGGGGGAGGGAGGGAGAGGAGGGACAGCTCTATGCTTGCTCCGATAGACCTGCAGCTCGAATCGCACAGAGGAAGAAGCACATGGGCACAGAGAGAAGCACAGGAGATGCAGGGGAAGCGAGTGAAGGGGGAGGGGGGGGGGGAGAGAGAGAGAGACAGGGGCTACGCACTGACATCGATGACGAGGCTCTTCAGAGCGCCAAATTGCCTCAAATAAATGGGGAGCTGCGCGTTCCTAGCCATTGAGGGGTCGCCGTACTCGCGGTTGTGATCAAACATGACAAACAAAGCGTCGGAGGATCCTTGGCAATCTGGCAGCCGCAATGCACGCGGAGCCCGACGGAAGAGCGGAGGCAAGTGCGTCAGAGATGCGACAGGGGGGAAGGCTATGCATGGACATTCGAGAGGGAAGGAACCCCGATGTGTCGTCTATCATCGTACTGGAAAAGTGAAGATGGGCCAAGCGAGGGAGCGTGGACAGCCGCCGGAGGGTCTGTTTGGTGACGGAGATATCTTCAAGGGGACAGGCAGGTCAGGCGCCACGGAAAGACAGGCATCATGGGCATTGATGGTGGATGGCGGGCTTCGGCTGGCTGACTGGCCGAGAGAAGAGGGCCGTACTGTCGATGGTCACGCGCTCCAGAGACATAAAGTGCCGTGTCGCGATGGCGTGCCAGATGGAGCCGGACAAGAGGTCGCAACGAAGGGGACTTCCTACCTTGACGGGGGACACAGTTAGCAGGGGCACACATCCCAGGACAAGTGGTTCGACAGGGTGCCACGAGGGGAGGGGCGGGGGACCGGAGCCAAGCACACGCACCGGCCGATGAAAGGTGGAGCTCGCTGATCGGTGTCGGCGACTGGAGCAGCTTGGCTGATAGGTTGCTAAATTGCCATGAGGCTGCGGGGCAAGCCAGGATGGAGGGGAGGGAGGGGGGGGAGGGGGGGAGGAAAAGGGGCATCAGCAATCGTCCGCTCCCCAGGACACGGCAAATGGCCGGGACAAGGGAAGAGCAGCAAAAAGGCGGCGCCAGCAACGGGCCCGAAGACCGGCGCCGGCAGCCACCGCTCCCCAATGGGACAAGATGTGCGCACTTGGGACTGTTGAGTCGAAAGTAAATCGCAACACGGAGGTCGGCTGGACGAAAGGCTGCTCCACGGCGGAGCATATGTGTTCGAGATTCCGATCCGCGTCTTGGTAGATGGCCTCGAGGGAGTCGACCGAAAGATGGGTCAGCGAGCGAAACTCCCCGATGTGGATGCTGCTCCGGTGGTGTTCCAGATGCGGCAGGATTGGTGGCCGGGTGTCCTCGTGCAAGTCGTGGAAGTGCGTGTGTCCTTCAAAGCGAACATGGTCCAGGAAGAAATGGGGCTGCGGACAGCACAGGCTACTAAGGGCATAGTCCTGCGAGGATGAAGATGCATGCGCGGGGAGCCCTGCGGTCGATGGCTGGGGGGGATCCGTCACATGTGAGACACTGCTGTCGGTGGAGCTGAGCCGGGCGACCACGGTTGCGGTCGCTGATCGGCCGGACGTGCCCGCTAGTCGGGACAACCGCGGGCGAAGGAGTGCCAGCATCGAGCTAGGTGGGGGTGGGGCCAGAGACACGGGCGACGGTGGGGGGAGGAGGGAGAGGGGGAGGGGAGAGAGAGAGAGAGAGAGATAGGGAGGGAGGGGTGGGGGCAGGGAAATGCCAAGGCACGGGGCAGGTAGAGATGAGGCTGGCAAAGGGAGGGAGGGGCGGGGCTGGAATGCGCCTCCACCGTTCCGGCCGGGGCACCAGGTGGGAGCGGAAAAATCCCGGCCTCGTGTCAAGCGAAGGTCACCGTCTGAGGGTTCCTGCCCCCCCCCCCCCCCCCCCCCCCCCCCCCCCCCCCCCCCCCCCCCC